CAAACCTACATGGCCCTGTCTGAAAAAGTGATTGCCCCCTAAACCTAATAACTGGTTGGGCCACCCTTAGCAGCAACAACTGCAATCACTGCTGAGCAAAAAGAACATAAAGGCTCGTCTCAGTTTTGCCAGAAAACATCTTGATGATCCCCAAGACTTTTGGGAAAATACTCTGTGGACTGACGAGACAAAAGTTGAACTTTTTGGAAGGTGTATGTCCCATTACATCTGGCGTAAAAGTAACACAGCATTTCAGAAAAGGAACATCATACCAACAGTAAAATATAGTGGTGGTAGTGTGATGGTCTGGGGCTGTTTTGCTGCTTCAGGACCTGGAAGACTTGCTGTGGTAAATGGAACCATGAATTCTGCTGTCTACCAAAAAATCCTGAAGGAGAATGTCCGGCCATCTGTTCGTGACCTCAAGCTGAAGCGCACTTGGGTTCTGCAGCAGGACAATGATCCAAAACACACCAGCAAGTCCACCTCTGAATGGCTTAAGAAAAACAAAATGAAGACTTTGGAGTGGCCTAGTCAAAGTCCCGACCTGAATCCGATTTGAGATGCTGTGGCATGACCTTAAAAAGGCGGTTCATGCTCGAAAACCCTCCAATGTGGCTGAATTACAACAATTCTGCAAAGATGAGTGGGCCAAAATTCCTCTACAGCGCTGTAAAAGACTCATTGCCAGTTATCGCAAAGGCTTGATTGCAGTTGTTGCTGCTAAGGGTGGCCCAACCAGTTATTAGGTTTAGGGGGCAATCACTTTTTCACACAGGGCCATGTAGGTTTGGATTTTTTTTTCCCCTTAATAATAAAAACCTTCATTTAAAAACTGCATTTTGTGTTTACTTGTGTTATCTTTGTCTAATATTTAAATTTGTTTGATGATCTTAAACATTTAAGTGTGACAAACATGCAAAAAAATTAGAAATCAGGAAGGGGGCAAACACTTTTTCACACAACTGTAGTCTATTTAACCTAAATAAATAAATCCAAAAAGATAGTCATATATTTTATGTTAGTTGATGTAACTATCATTTATACTCTTACACAAACAGCAGTATTGAATTAGTCGGGTACCTTTTTGGCTCACGCATACTGCGGTAGCAGTTTAAAGCAACATGCACAGCTGACGATGCTATGCGACTTAAGCTGTGTTGATGTGTACAGAAAGGCAGCAGTATCCGGTTGTGATGTTTACCCAAGGCCAGCTTGAAGGCTGCTGCATGTTAGCTTATGCACGTACATGCACACACACACCACACCGCACACACCACGACACATAACTTTCACCGCCTCAGAGTAAACAGCAGGATGCAGTATAAATTGCTCGGCACTTCCACATCAAGAAAAAAATGCAGGTTCTTTCAGGACTCCATTTGTGCTCCCGGCTATTCCAGGAAAGTCAAGGGTAGAAATCAATATGTGCGCATACAGAACAAGCAGAAAAAATGTGAGACACGCCATAGCTCCTGCCAAATGCAGTGTTCCTGTGTTGTCAAAGACAGGAAGGAAACCCTTGAGGGTTACTATAAATTTGACAGATTTTGTTTGTGTGTACTTAAAGAGAAGAAATTAGTTCGGCTTCCTCTGTCCACAGTATAATCAGACTAAATGTTTGATATTGTTGCCAACATGCCATGCATGCATCTAAAGAAAATCCTGGCGAAGAAAGCACAACTGTGAAGTTTGCTTACAGTCCAACCACACAGAGTTCAACCTAGTTCCTCTGTTTGTTTTTTAAGTATGAAAAAATCATCAAGCGGCGAAGGCAAAAGCTCGATGCAAAGGAAAAAGGGTGGACTGGAGTGACCCCGCTCATTTCCACTGCAGCTAATTTACGCCCGCGGTAGAAGTCCATTATTGTCACTTTTGTTTATTTGGGACACTAATGTGCAGAAATTGGAAAGCCACAAAAAGCACTCGGCTGCATGATTTGTCGCTCCCCTCCAAAATAAATTGCCATCTGTGGACCTCCTATCTGATGAATTTGTCCTGAAATGCCTCCCTGTGACCACATATATTAGGTGCAACTGTTGGGGGTTTTACCTCAAACTTGGTTTCCTCTGTTGTGTTTTTTTTAAGCTGCATTTACATGAACATATTTTAGCCCTGGTAATGTCCTTCTAGGGATGCAAAAAGACCCCAACTAATGCTAATAAAGTGTGAGAGTCGGGCACCGAAAGTCCAAGAAGTAAAAGTCATGTTCATTCCCATCATTATGCGTTTGTTAGTTGATTGGCAGTCAAAGTGCTTCCAAGTCCTGGGGGGGCGTGAAACTCTTCTGGTTCAATCATCAGTGTTCTTTCATCAAAGGTTAAATCCTTTACAGCCATTAAATCCCAAGGAGAGAAGCTATTACTATTACTCCCAAGCAACATTGTCCAAAGACATCTTTTGTCTACGTCACCAAGAGCAGCCAATGGTTACACTTTGTAGACACCAGATTACAGTAAATCCGTTCAATCTCTGCTTCTTTTCCATAGCAATGGCAACTGGGGCTGAAGGGTATGACGTATCTAAAGCCACCTGATGCAGCCCAGTATCCTAATTCACAATTAAGATCTAGGGCCAATGGTAAGTGACAAAGCATGAAGTAGCATGCCAAGTATTACTTACTTGCAATTTCCATTTGCCTTTTTATTAAATGTAACTATTATCTCTAAACTAAACCAAGTGCTTTAGTTGCCCAAATTATGTTGACAAATGATACAAGAATACCTTCAAATTGACTTTTTGATTCACACAGAAAATGACTTTCCCAGACAACAATACTGCGTTGTCAATTACGTTTTTATGGAAACTTATTCTCTCCTGGACTACGTTTGTTTTGTATGTATCACAAATACTTTTCTAGTCAAAGTCTGCAGAACCCCTTGTATGGAGGAGGCCAGTGGATGAATAGGTCAAACCTATAACAGACTTTCACCCAGGAGACCGCTGTTTGTGTCCTATGTGAATCAAAAAGTCAATGTTGACTTATTTGACATTATATGTAACTTAAGTTCCCTAATAAAATTTATTTTAAGCCAAACCATGATCTTTTAAACCAAATCAAGTGTGTTTTTAATTTATTTTTAATTCACAAAGTTTACCACATGTTTAAAAACTGTTTCCCTTCAAACGTAATTGAGAATGCGGTTTAGATGTATGGGAATGTAACTTTTAGGGGACAGGGTTGTCTTAAAAATACTTTAGACTGTCTCCCGTGAAGCAACAATTAATAATAGAGGAGCCAACAGTCAGGAGACGCTCATCTCCCCTCAACATGCGGCCCAACTGTTTTCCTCCAGGCTATAGACTCGTATAGATATGAGGTTACTGATAAAAATGTCCCCATGAGGAGTTTCACTTTACTCTCCGTCTACTGTGTCTCGTTAGCTCAACTTCTTATTATGACTTGCAATCATCTTGCTCTTCTGTCTATATACGTGCACTACATTGTCTGTTTTTTTTTCCTTCCATCTATCTTCATATTTTTTTCCAGCCAGAAAATCTTCGGGCATCCATCTGTCTGTCTGTGGCCTCATTAGAGCTTCAGAAACCTGTTGAATGGATGAACCAGCGTTCGGGCCTCCCCCAGCTGTTGTCTGGATATTAAATGCTCTCTAGGGTGAAAAGCAGCAAACCGAATCATAGTTTCCTGCAATGCTTTTCAAGCCAGCTGTTCTTCCAGTGCAGAGAAATGACAAAAGCTGTAAATTCTGAGCTTGTTGACTGTGAGATTTTGTAAGCACACAGGCTCAGTTACAAAATGGAAGTCACTGGTTGGTTGTTTAAACGGTTGATTTATCACTGGGTTGAATTAGAGTTGTTTTTTTTTTTTTAAATTCAAGGAAAAGCCTTGGAGCTAGCCTAAAGAGACTTTTCTCGAATGATGTTATTTGAAGTGTGAGCCTTCTCTAACTGGACTAGAATATATTAGAAAGACTTTTAAAAGAACAATCCAAGATTTTAGGATCCGTTTGATTATTGCTGAGTCATCTTATTCCTGTGCATCCAGTACAGATATACTGAATCTAACCCCATCTGTGACGTTAGCACTTCGTATGTGAATCTGTACGTTACTCCCGTCAGTCACTTTCTCTTATTTGTTAGCGGGGTGTGCCTTGAAAGGTATTTTGGGGATCTCACAGGGGTCTGCTTTCCGGGTGTTCAAATTCAACGTTTCCACAAGTTCTACCATGCAATGCCGTTTCAACCGTTTTATCATTGTGAGCAGACAATAGACAAATACCTGCAAGTGCACATTTCTAGATTACTTTTTTAAGCTGAATGCTATATTTTTCTACTAAAATGAATGTGCTACGTTCTCCCAAACTCAGTAAGAATGTGTTTCCCATCAGGTCATTTTTTCTGATGTCTTCCATACATGCAACTTCGTGTGTGTGTGTGTGTGTGTGTGTGTGTGTGTGTGTGTGTGTGTATTCCTGATGAACTACAGTAGATCACTGCAAGACACTCTGCTTTGCCTCAAATCAGCTGCCTGATTAAAGATCAACACATGCTGCTAGAACATTTTCACTGTGATAGAGAAAAAGAAAACAATCAAGCCTTGAGGATAAACAATATCTGCAATCAACGCCTCAGACTTCTCATTTCTAAAAGATTGCGAGGTTATGTAAAACTGGTTTTCCATGTTCGACCACTAGATGTCATCCAGCCATAACATCTGAACAGTCTGTGTGCAAGACTCCCTCTGATAAAGAAACGACACAGAAATATCTGCATCCCTGAATGTTCTGTGAGATGCAAACAAGAGGCATCAAACACCTCTTTTGACCTGTCTCATCGAGCTAACGAGGCTGATTACATCCAGTTAGTGGCACTTTTTCCTCTTCACACACACAACTTTAGTTGATTGTTAAAATGGCAGAATGGGAATGGACAAGCTGTAAGTACAAAATACACAGTTTCAAGATTTTAGATTTAAGTGTTGTCGGCTATTCTATAAGTAATGAACTGAGGGATTGATGGTTTCTTGGCTCTGTGTTCAGCTAGGTAGGTACCCAGATGTCTGAGGAGGCTCTGAGGATGACGTCTTGGCCTTGAACCCCACCAGCATGTCAGGTAAGATGTCTGACCTGATTACCCCAACACACACTCGCAGCCTCACCCCCCCCCCCCAGGTTTATTCCAAATAAGATTTATAGTGTACTGAGAGTTGATATTTAAAGCAATATTCACAAAACCTAAATGCAACCTTTCAAAACAACAATGTTTCCCCTGAATTATATTCCCGTCAGGCTAGAAAAGACTCGGCAATTAGACTATCATGAGACACTAAAACTGATGTTAATTGTTAAAATGAAAAATGTAATTGGACCCTCGACACATTATCAGTGGCATAATCCCTCCTTCCAAGATATACAATGATTAAGAGTGAATGTTAAAGCTGAACTTTGTTTTTCAGTGACCCTTCTATTTACAACCAGTGAGATGACGGTTGTCCCTGGCGTAACGTGAAAGTCATCGACTTTCTGACATAATTCCAGCTTTAAATGGCGCACAGCTTTTGTACCGCTGATCATGTAAAGAGGGCTTCAGGCAAACACCATTTGCATCCTAATTTAACGGGTTAGTGATGAGCTGTCCTCGCCAGCAGAAGACCCTGCTTACTGTAAGACGCAGTGGCCAGTGTCCTCCGGCAGCAGGAAACCTTTGTGGTGTGAGGGAAGATCGGTTTAAATCAAATGTCTCCTTCTTTAAAAGATAGTATTTTAAGCCAAAATGATTGTCTCAGAGTTACAGTTGAACACCATGTTTTTACTGAATATATATTAAGTGCTTTATTATTTAATTGCCTAATGATTTGAGAGTTAAAATGTGTCAGTTTGAACTTATAAAGCCACTCTGCACCACTTTACCTCCTTTTCCAACCCCTTCGCCGTTCATTCATTCAGAGCACACTAGGAAAGTAGACTCCACTTGCACACGTAAAAAGCCGTTTAAAGGACCCCCTGGCTGGTAATGTACGAGATGCACCTGTTGCTGTCCTCAGACGGACGGTCCTGTGCATTTGCTTACCTGACATAGTCAGTGTACACGGCTAATTGGCCGTGACGAATGGATTCAGCCGGTCCCCGTGAGCCCGCTGATCCGTCACATATGCTATCGACCTCGGCATAGTGAACAGACACGAGCTTACACGCATCACATGAGGAGACAAACCCTCATTCGCTGTACCACCAGACTAACGGCAACAAGATACTGTGACAAAGTGATGTTTCTGATGCTTAATTCACTTTAACCTGCTGTTTTATTGGCATCTGATTGTGTAATCCTTTGATTTGATGTGAAGAGAAGGGGGGAGTGTCAGTCTGCCTCTCTCACCTGTTTCACTGAGCAAGTAGCTTTTTTTTTAAAAGTGCCTCTCCCATCTATTTTAGAGCCAGCAGGAAATTGCTCCCCCGGCTGGAAAGATGAGGCCATTCAAAATGGTAATATTTATCCTCCCTCTCAGCACTGCTTTTCCTACTCTCTGTCAGTCTGGGTGAGCTTTGGAGCACTCGAAACTGTGCTCCAGCTTTTCACTAACGACTGAGAAGCTGTTTCTGATTTTAACCTCTTTCACATTTTTGCTTTGAATGTTGTGAAAAGGCCTCGAGACATATTCTGCTCATTTCTAGGTTCATGCTTATATTTTACGTGCTTCAATGTTCAAACAACTGTTTCTCGTACTGTCTGTCTGAATATAACTGTATTCACCCTCCTGTCTGACACGCTAAGTTGTAGCGCATTTCAACGGGATTGCATCACCAGGCAAGAGTTAGGTCCATGTTTACGTCCTGTCAGCTGATGTCCTTCACGTACACTGCACCAATGAACATACCTTTGACTGTTTATAACCGAAAATAAACATGGACGCATTTAAAACTGTGAAACGGTCTGTATATTGAACAGAATAAGAAATCCTCACGGCTCGTTTAAAGACATGCATTTCTCCATGGATTGAGCGTTTTGATAATTTCACAGTATTTACATATAGCACTTAGAGCTTTTATAATAAACGCCTCACTTTTAAGCTAAAACTCAAAACTCAAGGGGTACCTTTCTGGGCTAAAAAATCGATAAACCTGTTGAAAAAGCATCAAAGAATAGCCTGAAGTCACTTCACTTTAATGGTAGACGTTTACTAACTCTTTTGCTTTGCCACATAATCACTAATGGGAGTGTACGCATGCAGTGGAAGCCTTCCACTTCCCTCTCTATCTCTGCTTTCCTCATTCTGAACCTGCTCTGCACTGATTGCTGGTGCATTCAAGGACACTTCAGTCAGTGTTGTTACAGCTTCATATGACCTTTTCATAGAGGTCTGGGCTGCTGTCGATGTGTCCTTGAGCAAGACACTTAACCCCAAAATTGTGTAGAAATGTGATATAATCTGAATTGTAAGTCGCTTTGGATAAAAGCGTCTGCTAAATGATTGTAATGTATGCTTATTGCTGTTCCTGCTAACTACTTAGCGCTCTTCTCTTTATCTGAAACAAACTTTAAATAGCGAGAATCATTCACATATTTCGCTAGGAAAGAGCCACCAGACACAGCCAGAGATACTAAGAAAAAGGCTGAGCGCAAGAGTGCGCCAGCAGCTCAGTGGGCAGCAGTGGAGGTGGCGTCAATATGGCCGATATCTCTCGAATACTGAGGTTTGTTATACAAGCACCGACTGCATTTGCATCAGAATACAGAAAATTGGGTGCAAACGCTTTGGTAAATCTCGAGTGTTTAGCACAGCAAAGGATGTTATTAAATCACTACATGATCGATTTGATATATTAATAAAGTTGTAGCTGTAAATAACACGTGCTCAGTGTGTTCACAGATGAGCTCCAGGGGGATTGACTACTTACAACAGTTAGTACTAACAGTTTGAATGGTATCTGCTTTAGTTAACATGGCTGGGCTCAACGTACCTTAAAAAAGAAAAGTCCATCCTCTTTACACTGGGCTGTGTGTGTGTGTGTGTGTGTGTCGAATTAAAGACCTAATATTCTAGTGTTGATTGTATCTTCATGGGAATAGACTGTACTGTATCAATGCAGTTTTCTGGCTGCTTTGCTGCTGATCAGCGTCTATAGAGCAGCTGGCATTTGTCTCTAGATGACATCATCTCCACAGTCTGTCTCTCAGCTGTTCCACTAAAGGAGACAAACTCCCAAATTCAAACTGAGCTGTGTAATCCAATTGTCCTGAATTTAGAGTTGACTAATTAGTATTCATATAAGGTGCTTTAGAATTTCTACATCATAAAAGATCTTTCTTACGTAGACGCTCAGCAAAGTTCAAACAGAAGTAGAGTGCTTTTCGTCAGCTTTGTTGTGGTGTTTAAGTTGGAATTGAATTCTGTGCGTCTCAGGAGAAATCTTGTTCAATGATGTTTGCCTCCAGAAACCTCTGCTGTGATGATTCACTCATTACATCTCTATCTCAGCAGTCTGCAGACGTCTTAATGAGGTCAAGGCGGGGAACAAAAGCAGCGCTGATGAATTGCTCACGACAACAGCCACAGTTACTCGTAGAAGAATGAGTCCATAGTTGTTTTTGTTTACACGCTAGAAACCTTCAGAACAGAAATTACAGGACATATTCTGGATTATTTTATTTTATTTTGTACTGCAAACATACTTCAATATACACTAACATGATAAAACACAAAAAAATATGAAGAAAAACTTCTTTTATTTTAATTCTGGACTAACTGGAGACTTTTTGGGTATTTGCGAGTAAAACCTCAAGCAGCATGTTTCACGTGTGCTTCATTTTGCATTTCTACTGGAAGAACAGACCCTATATGGACTCGCATGATGTCATTGTGTCACAGTGAAGTGTAAATAGTTTCAATCTCAATTTGCACATAATATGAAATCTTAAAATATATGATAAATATACATTAATATATACCAGAAACATCAAAACTAGAAACTGGTTAAGGACTGGCAACTGAAACACTCGGTTGATTTAAAAAAAAAAAACGGCGAGTGAACCCGATCGCTCTGCTTAGGGTACTGTGGACACAGTGATTCATAGTGAGATTGGATTATTTTGCAAGCATTCACTGGATGTGTACAGTTCTACCAACATAAAGTCCAAATTATATGTTTGGACTTTTGTAAGATAACTACTAAAATGAATATAGTTCAAAAGAAGAGCAGTATCTAAAATAGATTCTTGCACTTCATTCCAAAGTGCGGGATAATCCTCTCAAACGTGAACCTTCGGCGATGGAAGCCTTCTGTTGTTCAGAATTAGCTTTATTGTTCCCCTGAGCTTACCCCAAACTTTAACGAGAAAGGGTCAACAACTAATGTGTCCTTTTCAGGTAACGCAGAGTAGCCGGGGACATCTGGCAGAGCACATCATGTCAATTGAGGGCCCGGGGTAAAAAGAGATTCCCCACATCCAATAATTATACAGCACCTGCTTTGAACTCCCTGGCCTAAAGTAATCAATCCGGGAGGGCATATATCTGTGCAGAATCCGTCTGCAGGGTCATTGTGGTGAGGTGCCAGACGGAGGGAAACTGTGTCCCTGTTCTCTAGACGAGAAAAAGATGATGGTAAAGTAGAAGTCTTTAAGTTATCTAAAAAAGACCGGCCTGTTGTCCGTTTGTCAGGAATACCTGGAGCAAGCTGCTGGAGACAAGCCGTTAGTATTTATACTTACTCAGCATAACTTTACACAGGCAGTGTGAAATATTCTCGTGGACGTCCTATTCCAACAAATGTTTATTACAGCAAGGTTGAAGAGAAAGATACTAATTAACAAAAAGGCAATCGGGGTAAGTAGAGAAATATCTTTATTGTTTAAAATGTATCGTAGATTGTGCTGTTTTGAAAAGACTAAAATGTATTCGTGTGTTCATTTGTATCTACTAAAAGTGATGCATTTGTGGCTGAAAATACAGAATGTGAATGGATATGAAAAAATACAAAGTAATCTTAAATCAGCTTTTTTTTTTTTTTCCCCCCAAGAGCTTCCAATCACACGATGTATTTAATGTGCAGATGTATCGAATGGTAGCTGTGAACAAAAGATTAAAGCGTAGAAATGAATCATTTAGATAATTGCAATAATTAATTTACTGAATTTCTTTATTCGTAAATATCTTGTTCAATACTTTAATTCAAAACTAAATCATTGTTTTTAATATAGGTAGTGAATACATTCATTCATTCATATATATATATATATATATATATATATATATATATATATATATATATAACTGAAACATTGAGGTGTTAGATTGTATGCTTTATAACAGGTGTAGACTTTAATACTGTCCACTCAGACAACAGATTGTTAAAGTATTGACAGGCGTAACACTCTGTCTGATGGACGCTTAAAGTACGGTTAAGAGTCGAAACTCCAAACGAGATTAGTCCACGGTGAGGACATCACCTCATCAAAAAGTTAAACTGGTATCAAGCCCTCTTTGCAAGCAGATTTGCCTCATAGGGCCTGTCTCTTACCAGCTGCTGCATGTTGCTCACATGAACTTGTCACAAAGTCCCACTTATATCATCAATAGAGTGGGTAATCCCATGATAAGCCCTTTTCTTTAGACGAAGATTCATTCATTTTGAGTGTGTTTTGTTGTTTATTTGTGGTATTACTAGTACTCGTGGACGAAGTGTTTCCGTATTGTATCTCAATTCCCATAATAGAGTAATTATTAAATCAAGTTTTAACAGTTTTATTTTATAAGTGAAACACTTCAGTGTTCTTGATTAATAATTTGATTCTAGTGCCAGTTCCTGTTTGTTTCTTTGAACACCATATTTTGTCGCATTTTTTTAAGTAAATCTTAAGTAACGTCCCCAAAAAATATAAAATAAGTTAATTTTAGACATTTGTTCTTATTTAAGTTGAAATGAGCTTGATCTCGTATATTCTAATCATTGCTTGCACGCTCTTTTTAGCACAGCCTCGAGAGTGCGTCACCCTGCATTTCACTGCACATATTGTAACGTGTAAAGGCTTCACTGACATTAACATTACGCCTGTCTTTGATTGGCCACTAATGAGCGCTTAGAACAGATGCAAACGAACAACAATATCAGACGTTAAGTCTTTTGTGGAAATGTATTCGCTCATTTCCCATGCACTGCCCACTTTTAGATAAATAAATTTAATATTTCCACATATCTACATCGATTTAATGTTACTATAGCTTCTGTTTTCTTTACAAAAACTATTTATTCCTATAGTGGAAATCGACTTCCTTATCTGCAGTATATAACGTGGCATATTTGTTGTAAATATTTGTAAATGTATTGTAATTACCCATATGTAGTAAAAGACATTTAAAAGTGCGGAAGTTATTCGGACATTTTCAAGAGCATTAGTAGGACCCAATCACTAACGAGCTTTTATATTTAATTTTAGATCATTTAAATCATATTGTGACCAGCTAGTCATTCATACACTTTAGCAT